TTAGGTTGAAGGCCATTGCTATTAGGAGCCATGCCTTTTAGGCTTTTAGGATTCCAGGACACCTGGACAGATCGCCGGAGAAGGGTGGCACCGCCGCCCACCACGAGTCCACCTCCGAAGTAGGTAGTGATCCTGACGAGGGCCAAGGAAGGAAAAGGCAGGATCGGTTCCAAGTCACGTTCCTACAGTATGTATTGTATATATATATATTTATATTGTAGGACTATATTGTATTATGTATCCTATATATATATATATTCCTATATTCAAACACATTTCTTGCACTCCAAAGTGGCCAACCATCCGCCTGTTGGAAATTGCCAAAAGCACATTCAGAAATGGCTGCCCTTTCTGAATCTGATCCTCTGCTGATTTGTCGGATCAAGGGTCAGTAAAGCGGCGGAATTACATGGTGGTTGATCTAGGTTCCTGCTCATGGAATCGCCGTTCTTAGCGAAAAGAAGAACTTGTCTTATCTTTCGCAAAATCTGTCTCAAACTCGATGTTAAACTTTTGCAGGGAGCTATATATATATATCCTGAAGTCTTCTTGTTCCATACCACATACTGTACCTGCATGAGTACAAAAATCATCCTGTGGAAGGCCCAATGTTCCTGATTTGTCTGTTTGCGGTTGGTAGGGACTATACTGAGATAGGCTGTGGCAAGCCAGTCCCTTATTTTGGAATCATGTCCTATCAAAATGTGGGTATGAGTCTTCCAATCTTCCAAGTGGGCTTTGACATTCGCTCAAGTCGCTCAAACCTTCACGAAAGGCCCAGGCATGCCCAGGCTATACTCTATTGAAAATGATCTTTGTGGATCTTTCACACAAAAAACAAGACCATATACTTTCACGAACTCGAAACATCACAGCAACTTTTGCCAATGACATAACAGGCTCTCGATGAACAATGTCTTTACAAGGACCTGATCAACTACCACATGCGCCGGCAATCGAGGAACCCATCAAACCATAGCTCCTGCAAATGAGATCTGCTGAGTTTGGTGTTCAACTTGAGTCTTCGATCTTCTCAAAAAGACCGTTTAAACCAAAAAATGAGAAGGATCGATCGACCACGCGATCCCCCGAAGCCCACCTCATGAACTTCTGCACCTTTATCTTCCACGCCTGGCAAACACTGCCGTTATATTTTTATCACTGACGGCTTTGCGGACGCCCGCAGAACGCCGTGCACGGCGTGAGCAGTGCCGTGAACCCATTCATGGTGGAAATTGGGCCCAGCCTTGTTCACATGATCCGTTGTGTGCACCCCTGAACTTTCAGGTGGTGTGAGCACAGCCTTCGAGGTGTCTTCACCTAAGTCGGGTCTGGCTGAAAGACTTGGCCTAAGTTAAGCCATGATAAGCCCAAGCGGGTCTCAATAAGGACCAAGACCCAAGCAATGCTGTTGCTTCACATAGCATTGCACATCAACCTTTGATCATTTTGGGGGGGGTCCAGGCTCCGCATGGCTCCGCAGGTCGCTCAGATCGGTTCTGAGGCCGCAGCCCGGATAGTGATAACAAATCTTCGGCCCTGGTGGGGGTCCCGCCTCCGCGGCCCGGTGTGGTCGTCTATGAGTGGTTTTTGTCGAGAACCAATGGATTTTCTCAACCTGCATCGATCCAGAACTTGGAAGGGCGAAGTGAAGCGAAGGACCCTCACGAAGCGGGGAAAAAGAAACCAAAGTGACTTTCGAAGCCTCATGCCTTTTTCTTTCACCCTTTTACACAGCTCAGAAGGAAACCCACTTTCGATGCTCATTTTGCCTGCTTGCTGCATCTGAAGGAAGTTGGCAC